GGGGAAGCGCGCCCGGCGGGGCCCGCTTGCGCAAACCAGCGGGGACGCGCGGCCGCCCGCGGCGGCGCTCGGGATGCGCCCTGCCCCTGGCAGGTCGGGGGCGCGATTTTGCCCCCAAGCCGCGGCGATGAGGCGCGGTCCTTTGCCTGCGCCGGGGACCCTGTTTATGGGGGCCGTGGGCCAGGCGGGGGCGGAGTTTCCCTGTCCGGCAACCACAGAAGAGAGCCAAGCGGTGCTGCTGCCTTCTGTGCCCGGGCACATGACACACAGGCATTTTTCAAAGGGTGCCACTCAAGGCAGCGCTGCGTTGGAAGGAGATGCCCGCGCAGGCCATCCACTGCCCCAGCTCTCCTCGCCCGTGGCCGGCCCCTTTCTGCTCGAAGACCTCGGGCGGGTGGCCGCCGTGCCTGGCAGGGCACTCGGAGTCACGTTCGGCAGCAGCCCCTCAGCTCCGGCATTTCCCAGCCGGCTGGCCGGCCAGGGAGTGAGCAGGCAGGCCCTTCCTCCCTTCCGAAGCCGGCTTTGCGCCTTCCGGTGACGGGCTGACGGTGGACACCCCACCCACGGACCCCTGCGGGTGCCCTGGGAGCCGAGCGGCCTGCCCCAAGGGGCCAGCAAGCTGTCGTCTCGAGACTTGTCTCTTGCTTTCAGCTGGGGAGATGCCGGAGCGTGAAGGAGTTTGAGAAGCTCAACCGGATTGGAGAAGGGACCTACGGCATTGTGTGTGAGTCACGGAATCAGGCCCCGGGGGCTGGGGAGGACCCCCCAGAGGCTTCAAGCTGAGCGTTGGGGCAGCCCCAGAGCGGGTCCACCGAGGAACCACTTCCGAAGCCATTTGGGGGCCGTGGCTCCCCCAGGCTGCCAGGCTGCTCAGCTGGTCCCCACGCGTTGGCCTCAGCAACACGCGCATCCTCCCCGGGCAGCGACAGGCCAAGAAGATAGGCCGCTCCTGTTGGAGGCACCTCGGGGACCACACATCCTAGCTGAGGCATTTGTTACGTTTCTCTAGCTCAAGGGGACTAACAATCGCAACATACCCATTTAGGCTCCTCCTGGCTAACAGCAACATAAGAATAAAGCTGTTAAAATGCTTTTATCCGCTTCGGCTAAAAAGGGCCCCAGAGATGCTCACACACATAGTAAAATCAAGCAGGCTCACAATCTGGAAAAGGTATGGAGAGGGGAAGGGGGGATTGCACAGCCTGCAGGGGTTACCTTTACAACCACGAGGCCTGCTGGAGTAAGGGCCTGTTTGCAAGGTGGTGGGAGGGCAACAGAGAGGGAGCTGACTGCCCAGCATGGCCCCAGTGTTGGCTGGGTCAAACAAAGGGCCCCCAGTTTCAGTCGGCGCAGTTGGGCGCATCTGCTTCCATAATTCTCAGTCAGAAGCGTGAGCAGAGGATGCTCATTCCAAGGGGAACGGGAGCCAACAAACCGGTGCTTGCCTACTCAGAAGTAAGTGGCATGGAATGGTGCGCACGCCTCTGTGCGTACATCTAGTGGAACGACAGCCCAAGTGTGCAAGTGGCACACCTCCTTGTGCCGCTGCGCGTGTCGCCCCGCTTGGCCAAGAGTCCGCGCTGAGTCTGAGCAGCGCCCTGCGTGTTGCTTCAGATCGCGCCCGAGACACGCAAACAGACGAGATCGTGGCCCTGAAGAAGGTGCGAATGGACAAGGAGAAGGACGGTGAGCCGGCGGGGCTGGCGGGGCGGGCCCTCTTGGCTTTTTGCCGCGGCCAGGAAAGGGCCCCTGACGGGTGTCTGCCCCCCAGGCATCCCCATCAGCAGCCTCCGGGAAATCACGCTGCTGCTGAAGCTGCAGCACCCCAACGTCGTGGAGCTGAAGGAGGTGGTGGTGGGCAACCACCTGGAGAGGTACTTCCCGGCTTCCCTCTACCCATCCCATCGTCTCGGGGGTGGCGGCGCCTCATGGCTGTCCACCACGCCTGGCCTGGCCTGGCCCCGGCGGGCTGGGTTGGGGTCAGGGCGGAGGATGCCGTTTTTTAAGAGCCTGAAAGAAGCACCCCGGGACAGGACGGGCAGCGGGTAGGAAAGGCACGTATGCAAATATGACTCGTTTCTGCACGCAGGGAAAGGGGCAGCCCCAGTGCGGCTTCCTAGCCCTCTTGGTTTAGCTGGGGCCGGAGACTGGGGTGCTGAGAGGCCCTCCTCTCCTGCAAGAGTGTAGGGGAAAGAGACCCGCCTTGCCCCGCTCCCTCTGATGGTGCCGCACCTCAAGTGGACCAAAAGCGCAAAACCCCGAGCAGCTCTCAGGGACTCAGAAAATGGGGCAGCCAAACGGGATCTGCCAAATGTTGGTGTGATCAAAGCACTGCTAACCTGAGGGCCGGCGAGGGTGCAGCGCACGGTGCCCCCGCCGTCTGGACGGGGGCCTCCTGGAGACTGCGATGCTCGGGCATCACCTGGCCGCAGCTCTGGGCCCGAGTGCCGCCCCAGCCCGGGGCTGCTTGAAGGTGGGCGCTTCCGGTCCCAGCAGCAACTGGGAGTGTGCGTGTGTGTTTGTGATTCCGCCGCAGCATTTTCCTGGTGATGGGCTACTGCGAGCAGGACCTTGCCAGCCTCCTGGAGAACATGCAGGCGCCCTTCTCCGAAGCTCAGGTGAGCACGGCCCGAGAGGCACGTGGGGGGAAGCGGCGCCCCCTCTCTGGCAGCCAGTGATCATCAAAATTAGCAACCATGTGATAATGAAACGCTGTGGTGCGGTGCGGTGTGTTGAAACCCGGTTGTGGTTGCGTGTGAACCTGTAAACGAGACATGGTTCATTCCCAGACGCAAACCCCAAGGAAAGCAGGGGTTTGTTGCTGGCGTGCAAAGCTTGTCTGAACCCGGAACGGTGGCTTCTCCCTGCTGCTGCCGGCCTGCCTGCCTCAGGACAGGTGCCCAGCGAGCGCACCTTGAAAGCACAACCGCACTGGAGGCGGGCAGAACAGAGCGGGGAGACAGACCAGGATGGGGCACAGCGGGCTTGCTCCTCTGCAAGACGGTTCATGGCTAGAGCATCGAGCCGTGCTTAACACGAACCGTGGCTCAGTGTCACGTCCGGTGCCCCTGTGGCTCTCCGGCCCCAGTGCAGCCCCTGGGACAGGGTGAAGCCGTGACGCCCCCTCCCGTGCCCCTGCAGGTGAAGTGCATCGTTCTCCAGGTGCTCAAGGGCCTCCAGTACCTCCACCACAACTTCATCATCCACAGGTGAGGGAAGGGCAGGTCGTGGGGCACCTTGAGGCGAGCTGCAGGGGGCGGGCAGGGGCTGCCCACCTCCCTTCACCCCTGCTGGACTGCTCTTTCCTTGCACAACAGGGACCTGAAGGTGTCCAATTTGCTCATGACCGACAAAGGCTGTGTGAAGACAGGTGAGACCTTGGCGCCCCCCTCCCCCCGTTGTTTCGAACACCGCCAACCGCGGCCTCCTCTCGTCTCTTGCAGCGGACTTCGGTTTGGCTCGTGCGTACCGGGAGCCCGCCAAGGCCATGACGCCCAAGGTGGTCACACTCTGGTAGGTGGACGTGGGCGCCTCCTGGGGAGCGAGCGTCCTGCTCGTGTGACGCGACAGGGACGGGAGGGACGCCGACCAGGAGCCAGAGATGTTTAGGCCTCTAGAGGTCTAGGCCGAACCCTCCCGTCTCTGCCACCGCTGGCTAGGGATGATGGGCTCTGTGGCTCTCCCGCTGCTTGGGCCTACCAGCGGGCGCAACTGACGGAACTCCGTCGCCCATTCCCTGCGGGTGCTGAGGTGCAGCGGCCCCCCGAGCCCCCCACTGCTTTGCCCCCGCAGGTACCGAGCCCCCGAGCTGCTCCTGGGGACGACGACGCAGACCACTGCCCTTGACATGTGGTGAGGGCGCCCCCCACACCGCAGCAGCCCGAGGGGGGGGCCAAGGCAGGCTGTGTCCAGCCGGGGGGGGGGTGCCGCTGTGGGCGGGGCCTTCTCAGCGCTCGCTCCGTGCCCCCCGCAGGGCCGTGGGCTGCATCCTGGCGGAGCTGCTGGCCCACAAGCCGCTACTTCCCGGGAGCTCGGAGATCCAGCAGATCGACATGATCGTGCAGCTGCTGGGCACGCCCAACGAGACCATCTGGCCGGTGAGTGTGCCGTGGCCGCCCGCCCTCAGCCTCGCGGCTCCGCCAATGGCCGAGGGGCAGCCTAGCCGGCTGGCCGGGACCCTCCCAAGGCAGAGCCACGTGCCCCCCATCGCAGCCCTCCCGTGGACGCCACGCCGTGGGGCGCACTGTGTCCGGGTGGCTAGGTCTGCGTGGCGCGCAGCAGGCGTCGGGTGCAGTGCCTGCCATCTCCATGGGGGGCCGCGAAAGCATCTTGTGTGAGAGGGAGCCCCGCTGCTGCCCGCCAGAGTCAACGGCACTGGGCAAGGTAACCCGGGGCCTGGCTCGGCAAAGGCAGCTTCGGAGCTTCCGGCTGCAGCACGAAGGGCCTCGACAGCCGGTGCTCCAGCCGGCGTGCGCAAGTGAGCCCAGCCGCGTGTGAGGCAGCACCCTGGGAGTGCCGGCCTCTGCCTTGTCCCCGCCTGCAGGGCTTCTCCAAGCTGCCGCTGGTGAGCCAGTACACCCTGCGCAAGCAGCCCTACAACAACCTGAAGCACAAATTCCCCTGGCTGTCCGAGGCGGGCCTCCGCCTGCTCAACTTCCTCTTCATGTACGACCCCAAAAAAAGGTGAGGGGGCCCAGGCTGTGGCAGCGGGCTTACGGACTGAAAGGGGCACCGCTCCCCACAGCGCCGTGGCGGGCCTGTGGGACGCGCCTCCAGCCAATGGCACGGCTCTCCGAGGGGCCGCTCGGGCCCCAGAGCCGAGGGCTCCTGCAAGGCCGCATGGCCATTCCGGGGCCACAGGTGGCTCGGTGGCCGGCCGCTGGGGACGGGAGCAGGGTGGGCAGGCGCCAGTGCTCGGCAGCGTGTGGCCAGGACCTCGCCTGGCAGCTGGCTGGGATGCCGGGCCACCCAGGGGAGCAGCCCTCCTGGCCCAGCCAGAAGCCGGCAGGGAGGAGCCCGGCCCGGCCCGGCCCGGCCCCTCACAGCACGCGTCCCTCCTTCCCAGAGCCACGGCCAGCGACTGCCTGGAGAGCTCCTACTTCAAGGAGAAGCCCCTGCGTAAGTCCTCCCCACCCACCGCCCCCCCATGCCGGTGGCACCGCCACCCCCGAGGCAGGTGCCTGACCGCCCCTCTCGTTCCAGCCTGCGAGCCGGACCTCATGCCCACCTTCCCGCACCATCGCAACAAGCGGGCCGCCCCGAGCACGGGGGCCAAGGGTGTGGGCAAGCGCAGCCGGCCCTGAGGGCGCCGGGGCCTCCGGCCAGGTGCGTGCAGGGCTGGGCCGGGCCCAACCCTTCTCTGGGGAGCATCCGGGAGTGGACGAGCGCAGGCAGCCGCCGGCTGGAGGGACCGAGCCGGGCCCGCCTCGCCTCCAGAGCCCTGCGCCAGCCACGTCCGCGGGTGGGCCGAGGCGGCACTCCAGCAGCGAAGCGCCCCGGCCGAGCACGGCGCCCCCCCCGCCCCTTGGGGGAGGCAGGCAAGAAGCCGCTTCTTCGACGAGGACTGCCATTGCTCCGCAGGCTTGTTTGCAAAGTCCGATGTGTACATATTGAAGAAGCCGCTGCCTGCGTAACCGAGTCTGTTCTCGTTATTATTAAACAGTTCCTCTCCTTTACATGCAAGAGCCCCGAATGGTGTGGCCGCTGGGCTGGGCTGGGCTGGGCTGGGCAGGCCCCCCACTCAAGACCCTCCCGAAGTTCTCCTCGCCGGGGCCACCGCCCTTCTCCCGACTGCCCGGGAGGCTGGCCCTGTCTTCCCTTCCAAGCTCCTGCAGACCCCGAGAAAAAAAGCCCTTCCGTCAGCAGCAGCGAAACATGAGCCGGCAGAGACTGCCCAGGAGCAGAGCTCGAGCGCCCGGCTCCCCTGCCTCTGCCGCGTCTGGGCAGCCCAGGCGGCTGCGCAGGGACAGCCGAGCCCCCTGAAGAGCCCCCCTGCAGGGACAGCCGAGCCCCCTGAAGAGCGCTGTGATCCCGGCAGGCCAAGCCAAGCGCCCCTTGCCTGCGGGTGGGGCTGCCCATGTGGCCAAGCAGAGCAAGCCCACAGACGACCCTGCAGTGGCCGCGCCCCCCCCCCCCCCCC